CCAAACTGCCTTTTCTCTTCCTTCTCCTATTTTTATTCATCAGTTTCAGGTCCACAATACCTGCTTCACGATAAAAGAAAAAAATTATATATTTTTTTAGTCAAGATATATATATATATATAATTGAAATTAAAATTATCTAATTGGAATCATCTTTACATAAATTCGACTAAAATGGGCCTCCATATGTGGAGAAATGGGTGAGTTCAATTCGTAAGTTTGGGCCTACCAAGGTAGCCCAAAAAGTTCTATAGCTTCTCAGGGCACAAGTTTGCAAAGATTTAGATGAGGAGGGAGCTAGAACGGAGAGTTTATAATGAGAAGTTTAAAGTGAGGAGGTTAATTTCACCATCAACAAATATAAAGAAATTGTTGGACTTAAACATTTTAAATGTTTTAATAATAAGATTGGCATTATCAAATAGCCTCCTCACTTTAAACTCCTCATTGTAGCCCCTTCCGGAGATAGAATAGAATTGAGTGATGTTTTTTGTTTGAGACAATCCAACTCTACTTTCTCAAGTCTTTTATTCCCAACCTTAAATAACATGTGGCTGTTTTTTTTTCTTCTTTTTTTTAATAAAACATGTGTTCTTAATATTTAATTTTTTTTTATATATACAAGCAATATTCTACCTTAATCTAATCTAAACTATGGGAGGAGGGAGATTCGAAATGAGGAGCTCTAAACCAACTTGTGTTCATAACATCTAACATTTTAGTTTAATTGCAAATGTGTATTTGTTGTGACTTTGCACATCGTCCCTGGGAAACCTGAACCTGTACAACACTTTGCACATGCATGATGATAATAGGAGTTGATGTAAATATTGTATTTCTTACCAGAAAAACTGAAGGAAATCCCACGTTTTTTTTTTCTTATTTTTCTTTCATGGTCGAAAGAAGTCGAAAATTTTGATCAGTCTCGAAGTCAGTGTAGAAAGAAGAAGAGAGACAACACAATGTTTGTCCCACTGAATGATGATAGTATGATCTGAAGCTGTTAAGGATTGCATGCTAAAAAACAGAGCACGAAACTTCTTCCCAAGTCACTCATTTTGAAGCTATTTGCGTTTTGCTTTCTCTCTGAGAAGAAGAGAGAAATTGAAGAACACGTATATGGGTTAATTCATTCTCTGTGTGACAAATCAAAGAATTAATAAACTTGTTTGTTCTTCTTCCTTCTAGAGTTTACTAGTAGCGATTGATGATGACAGAAAACAGAGCAACGTGGCATCACATGATGATTGATGATGCCGTACCCATCCACATGGACATATGGACATAATCTGCATTATTGTGATGATTTTCCTGTTTTCAGTCCCCCACACGTTCCTCCTTTTGCCCTTCAAACCCTAATTATTAGATTGGGCAACCAAATTGAGAGTGGGTTTGATTGAACATTATTTGTTCATGGGCCCGTCCTCGCGAGGCTGATCATGATTCATGATGTGAATTATACGTTCTCTCCATCAGATTAGGAACCAAAGTGAAAAGATTACTACTAAGACTTAAATCTTCTTCAGCAACGTAACAAATTGGGCTCTGCCACTTGTACAGACACCTCATTTTGAGGTCAAGAAAACAGAGTTTATGAATTATTATGACTCAGCTTCTCTATCCTTCCCCAACCATATCCAAATTCCACAACTTTTTTTTTTCTTTCTTTCCTTTTGTAATATTGTAATATTGACATATTCCATGCTACATACATCATACATGGTTTGGTTTATAAATTATAAATTATAAATTATAATTATAATCAATCATGCAGATCATCATAGCCTGGCCCTGGCATTATTCTTCTCTCTCTAGTTCATGGTTGAGGCAATTCCTTTCCTGTGGTTCTCCCCTCTCTACACATCTGTGGACTCTGGGCCCCACCAATTTGGAGTGAAAGACCGTCTCTAATAACAAAATGTCATACTTGGCCATGGTCTTGGCTATACCCTTAGCAAATAAATAGCATTTATTAGTGGCAAAATCCAATTTAGTATACACTAGAATACAAGAACGGAAATGGAACACTGTAATTATAGAAAGGAAAGGCAAACTTGTCTGCTAATTCCTTTCTTTCTATACAAAAGCCAGCAACCATTTATATTCAGTCATTTAGTTTCCTTATTCATTACTCCAATCCAAAGTTCCAAACTCAATTAATTATCAGATGGATCATCCCATCTCCGATGACCCCAAATCCCCACTTCTCCCTCTCCACCACGATCCCGATCCAATCCAACAGTCACAAAACATCCTGTCAGGTTTGAAATCCACTCTAACACTCAAGACCTTGTTCGTCCTCCTAGGACCTCTTCTGTGCACCATTATATGCCTCTATGTCAAGCTAGATGGCCCTGTGGCTAGCCGGAACATGCTGGCAGTGCTTGTTTGGGTCTTTGCTTGGTGGCTCACAGAGGCTGTGCCTATGCCCATCACCTCCATGTCTCCGCTCTTTCTCTTCCCGCTCTTTGGAATTGCCTCTGCTGATGATGTCGCTCACTCTTACATGGATGATGTCATTGCGCTAGTTCTTGGAAGTTTCATACTGGCTCTTGCTGTTGAGCATTATAACATACACAGAAGATTGGCCTTGAATGTCAGTTTCTCTAATCTCTAATCTCTACTCTAATATAATAATTATATTATATGGTTTAGTTTTTCAAACTTGTCATCTTTTCTTTGGTTCTCGTAAATTAATTAACCCCTAGGCTATGATCAAACCAGAAAACTAAATTAGAATTTTTGTTACTGTTGGTCCTGTCATATATTAAATACTAACCTATGTTTGAACTTGTAAGTTAGGCCGGTTGACCTGCACTTTGTACTCGAGTTTAATCTCTATCTCCCACGTGTCTTACATATGTTCACTTCGACTTGTTACATAAATTAAAAATTACAATCATTGTTGTCTTTGTCAATTTCATAGCATAAAAAGCATTTTAAATTCTGAATTATCGTACTAAAATGTTGTCCTCAATTATTATTCGAGTGAGTCTGAGACTGAGAGTGATTCACGGTATGTGGTGGGCCATCCACACAGATAACCATGCTATTCTGCGGAGATCCACTGAATCCCCCGCTGCTCCTGCTGGGAATATGCGCCACGACAGCTTTCGTCAGCATGTGGATGCACAACGTGGCAGCAGCTGTGATAATGATGCCGGTCGCCACCGGGATCCTCCAGCGCTTTCCAGTGGGCCCCGACCAGTCCGTCGCTGTGAGCAAGTTCTGCAGGGCTGTGGTTCTGGGGGTGATATACTCAACAGCCATAGGAGGGATGAGCACTCTCACGGGGACAGGTGTCAATCTCATATTGGTTGGAATGTGGAAGAGCTATTTTCCAGAGGCAGAGCCCATCAGCTTCAGCACCTGGTTCTTTTTTGGGTTCCCTCTGGCCTTGCTCATATTCTTGGCTTTGTGGGTTATACTTTGTTGCTTGTATTGCTCAAGGAATTCAAGCCAGGCTCTCTCTGGTTATTTGGACAAAGCCCATTTGAAGAGGGAGCTTGAAATGTTAGGTACAATATTATAATCAGTTAGTGTCTATTTTTCTCTTTTATTTTCTCTCTGAATCTGAATTGAACTCATCACCTTCTGTCTAATTCATATTTCCAAGTCAGCTAATTACAAGTGTTGTTGTGATGAGACAGGTCCAATGGCTTTTGCTGAGAAGATGGTATTGGCTGTGTTTTCTGTACGTTTAACTTTTACTTCATTTTGAAGTGTACATACATGTTGACTTTGATGGTTGGATTTGGATATGTGTTTCAATTATAATTATGATGATGACAAGAAGAGTTTTGTGCAGATGCTGATAGTTTTGTGGATGACAAGAAGCATAACAGATGACATTCCTGGGTGGGGAACCCTCTTCAAAGGGCGTGCTGGTGATGGAACTGTCAGTGTGAGTATTTGCTTGGCCCTTCAAAATTTAACAACATAACTTGAAAATGGCCTTTTGTAGTGAATTTGGATTAATTAGAAATTAACCATGTAGGTCATGATGGCAACTTTGCTGTTCATAATTCCGAACAAAAAGCAAAAGGGAGAGAAGTTGATGGACTGGAACAAATGCAAGAAGCTACCTTGGAACATCATATTGTTACTAGGAGCTGGTTTTGCCATTGCTGACGGAGTTCGAACCAGTGGCCTTGCAGACATTTTATCAAAAGCCTTAGATTTCTTGGAGGCAGTTCCTTATTTTGCCATTGCGCCTGCCGTCTGTCTCATAAGTAGCACCATCACTGAGTTTACATCAAACAACTCCACCACCACGCTGGTTGTGCCTCTTCTAATTCAAATTGCAAAAATCATGCATGTAAATCCACTCCTTCTTATGGTTCCTGGAGCCATTGGGGCACAATTTTCTTTCTTGCTTCCAACAGGAACACCTTCAAATATAGTTGGATTTACCACTGGCCACATTGAAATTCAAGATATGATCAAAACCGGGTTGCCATTAAAGATTGCTGGAATTGCTGTGCTCTCCCTTTTGATGCCTACACTTGGTAACATTCCTAGTGTCTCAGTTATCAGCTAACTATTTTGTTTTTGACCAATTTTCACAAGTCACTAATGAATTTTTGGCTATTGCAGGAGCATATGTATTTGGGACTAACGAACCAGTTCAATGACTTGAAAATTCGAAATATTTTCGTGTCTTGTGAAATCTCAGGCGCAGGGCATAAGAAAAATATTATGTGTGTGTGTGTATATATATATAGTCACACTCACAAGCACAAAAATACTTCTCTTCTCTCACAATTTTCCCCTGCTTCTTTTTTGCATTCCTTCGTTGGTAGGTAGAGCTTTGTATGTACATCTATGATTGCAGCCATTTGCAATTATATTAAATAATTTTCAATTTTGTGTATCTCATTATTTCTCTGATCTGTAGTGTTGTATAAAAGTTTCTTAGGAGAATGCTATATTTGCTTTTCCTACAACATTACTTGCAGTTTTGCTCAAGAATATGAGAAAAACTTGTCTATACCCGGGCGTCTCACATTTAGTATATAATGTGAGTGGCGTATGGGCTATATGTGTGAGACGTCCGTTTTTTTCTCCAAGAATACGGGGAATGCAAGAGAGGAGCGGCAATAACGCGCCCCTACTCCCATGCTACATGATTGGATGACCCTTAGCAAATAAATGACATTTAGTGTCAAATTGCCGATTAATGAACACAAAAATGGAACATTAGAAAGAAAAAGTGACTTTGAATTTGAATTTGCTCACACTCTAATATCAACAAGAAATCAAATGGATATTCCCCCCTCCAATGACCCCAAAACCCCACTTCTCCCACTTGATGATCCAAACCAAAGGTCACAGATAAAATTCTCTTCATCATTGAAATCCATTCTAACATCCAATAACTTCAACATCCTGCTAGGGCCTCTTTTGAGCACCATTATATGTCTCCATGTCAACCTAGATGGCTCCCTCACCACCAGCCGCAACATGCTGGCAGTGCTTGCATGGATTTTTGCTTGGTGGCTCACAGAGGCCGTGCCCATGCCAATTACCTCCATGTCCCCGCTCTTCCTCTTCCCGCTCTTTGGCATTGCCTCTGCTGATGATGTTGCCCACTCTTACATGAACGATGTCATTGCCCTTGTTCTTGGAAGCTTCATATTGGCTCTTGCCGTCGAGCATTATAATATACACAAAAGATTGGCCTTGAATGTGAGTTATCTTCTAGTTTTGGTTATCTCACAACAATTAACGCACATTGCATATAAATTTTGAATCTTTTATTTATTTATTTATAGATAACCCTGGTGTTCTGCGGAGATCCCCTGAATCCGCCATTGCTGCTGCTGGGGATATGTGGGACCGCAGCCTTCGTGAGCATGTGGATGCACAACGTGGCGACGGCGGTGATGATGATGCCCGTCGCCACCGGCATCCTTCGACGCTTTCCGACAGGCCCCAATCAGTCCGTCGTTGTGGGCAAGTTTTGCAGAGCTGTGGTTCTTGGCGTGTTATACTCCATAACCATAGGAGGCATGAGCACTCTCACGGGGACAGGTGTCAATCTCATATTGGTTGGGATGTGGCAGAGCTATTTCCCAGAGGCAGCTCCAGTCACCTTCAGCACCTGGTTCTTGTTTGCTTTCCCTTCGGCTCTGTTGATGTTCTTGGCTTTGTGGGCTTTATTGTGCTGCTTGTATTGCTCCAGGAGTTCAGGCCAGGCTCTCTCTGTTTATTTCGACAAAGCCCATTTGAAGGAGGAGCTCGAAATGTTAGGTAGGTAGGTGAGGGGAGCACCTCAATTTGTCATATTTTTTTCAATGAATTGGTCCTACTATCTTTCTGCTCTCTTTTTTTTGTTTGGTAATAGTTGTGAAAAACCCAACATGCCAGAATAGGCTAACACATTTGAACTGGTGTGTGAATTATTGAACTAATGTTCACTATCCAATTTTAGGCACTAGACAACACCTTGTAGCTAATTGTATTTCCAAATCAACTTATTAGTGTTGATGCGGCACGGGCAGGTCCAATGGCTTATGCTGAGAAGATGGTGTTGGCTTTGTTTTCGGTGCGTTGCCACTTAGTTTTGCATAGTTCTTCTGAGTGTGTTGGAATGTGGATATGTCTTCCAATTCTTATGACAAGAAGAGTTTTGTGCAGATGCTGATAGTTTTGTGGATGACCAGAAGCATAACAGAGGATATTCCTGGCTGGGGAGTCCTCTTCAAGGGCCTTGCCGGAGACGGAACTGTCAGTGTGAGTATTGGCCCTTCACATTGCTTAAGATTAACAGAGGCCTTCCCTTTTGTAGTTGGATCAGATTTTGAAGTGTGACTTGAAACCATGTAGGTTATGATTGCAACTTTGCTGTTTATAGTTCCTAGCAAAAAGCAAAAGGGTCAGAAGTTGATGGACTGGGACAAATGCAAGAAGCTACCCTGGAACATCATATTGTTATTAGGTGCTGGTTTAGCCATCGCTGACGGGGTTCGATCTAGTGGCCTTGCAGATATATTATCAGAAAGCTTAGATTTCTTGGAGGCAGTCCCATATTTAGCCATGACACCGGCTGTCTGTCTCATCAGTAGTACCATCACTGAGTTAATCACATCAAACAATGCCACTGCGACGCTTATTGTTCCTCTCCTGATTCAAATAGCAAAAACTACGCATGTGCATCCACTCCTTCTCATGATTCCAGGAGGCATTGGGGCTCAATTTGCTTTCTTGTTTCCAACAGCAACCCCTTCGAATACCGTAGGGTTTGCAACTGGCCACATTGAAATCCAAGATATGATTAAGATTGGCTTGCCATTAAAGATTGCTGGAATTGCTGTGCTGTCCCTTTTGATGCCTACACTTGGTAACATTTCGTTTCTTATCTCTTATCAGCTATCTTTGACTAATTTTCTGTAGTTGTTGTACATGATTTTGTAATGATATGTGATGACTGAGTTTTGGCTATTGCAGGAGTTTATGTATTTAGGACTGGCGAACAAGTTCAATGACTTGAAAAGCTCAAAATGCTAGATTGTCTTGCGAAGTTTCAGGGTATAACAAAAAGCATTATATATTTCATCAGCACTAGTTGTCTACTTTAATTTTGTATCCTTGATGTCAGATTCAGCTTTGACAGATGTAAACATCAAGTAGGCATATGTTATACAAATTTTTGTAACTTTGTGCATAATGTACAGAAATCATCTTCAACTTCAGCATAGAATCCTTATTAGTACAACAGTGCAATTTACAATCTTGTGTTATGAATCGAATGAAAAACTCGTATTACAGATGCGTTCAAGATGGAATGCACGCCATTTTGAATAACATACAAATTCATCATCCTTGCAGGACATGACCAAGTAAATAGAAAGCACATACCTTGTAATTTAAAAATACTGCACTCTGCACTCTTCCTCTCAACTAAAACAATAACAGAAAACGCTACACTCCAACAAGAATTATATGGTTATTGCTACAGCAAGAAACCAGAAGTATGTTAAACAACAGTCCTGGTTTCTTGATTTTTTCTCCAATAATGATGCATCAGTTTGTACTGCTGCAATAGTCCAGTATGAAGCCAGAATTATCTTCAAGTCACCAGTGATCAAATTTAAGCAATACCTCCAAATAGCAGGTGATTTGTCAATTCTCAGCAATCTGACACCTTAATCTTGATTCTTTCTCCAGATCCCGGATTCAATAACAGAGCACGGGAAATCTTTCAGCTTGTAGCAATGGCTAATCTCCATGTAGCGTAGTGCAGGCATATCCTTCTCCAAGTCCTTCCACTGTAAGTCTAGCTTCATCAAGTACTTCAAACACAGACCTTCGACTTTCCAAGCGGGGTGACCACTGCTTAGATTGACAAGGTCACTATTCTCAATACAAAGATACTTCAATCTAGAAAGCTGTTTGGGATTGACCCAGCTGGGGAGAGTTTCTCGTCGGTAATACCTCAGATACAGCTCTTGGAGGCTTGGAGGAGGGGTCAGCTTATCTAGCATTTCGAAAACATCTTTCTCTCTACAATCTTCTGCATCGATAGCTAGAACCTTGAGCATTTTAAGCTGAGATAAGACATCAAGTTCATTGTCTGTGATTTCGGCGACATCACTTATATGCATTCGCAGTACTCTTAGGTGGATCAGGTCCTTAATCTCAAGAAGCTGGAAACATTGCTTTCTATGCTGATTCACAACCTTGAATCCGGAGAGTTCTTGAAGATAAGACAGCCTTCCTAATCCCTGAGGCAAGTACTGGATGGGACACCCCACAAGGTCCAAGATAATCAGCTTCTTCAAATTAGCGATTGATGGGTGTATCTTTTCTAGATGGCTGCACCCATTTAAAATCAACAGTTGGAGGTTGAGGAGTTTATGAATTGAGGATGGCACTTCTTTTAGGGCTTGGATACCACTCAAGTTCAAAGATGCTAGGCGCTTAAGGGAACTGATCCAGTTGAAGAGATCCTTTACACAAGTCTCATCCACTGTGCAGTTTGATAAATCCAACATTCTCAGGGATCGCAGAAACCCCGAAATCCTGTCAAACTCAAATCGGCGGCTTGACATCAGTAACATTGCCCTGAGCTTTGAACTATATTTCAACGATTTTTCATCCATTTCATCAATAAAACTTAACCACCGAGAATTTGCTGTCAACTTCTGCCTGCTTTGTTCGTTGAAACTGCAAAACTCCTCCTCCTCCGCAATCATGATTATCATTTCTCTCACCATATCATGTATCTTGCACTTATAGACTCTCCCATCAAAGCCTCGCTGCTGCACGATTTCAACCAGGCATCTGCTGATAAGTTCTGCAAGATATTCATATCCCACTTCTACTGCTGTTTTTGAGCCTTTGCCCTGAACCAGGCCCTCTCCCACCCACCAGTGAATTAACTGATCGGCACTTATCTCAGCGTCTTCACGGTAGATGGAGAAACACAACATGCATTGTTTCAGAAAAGGCGGGAGTTCATCATAGCTCAACCGCAAAGAAGCCATAACTGAACTAGCTTTTCCCTCTGTTGTTAAGGCATGAAAACTTTCAAGAATGTCTCTCCACTGGGAAGGGGAGTTGATCTTTGATGCCAATAAGGATCCTATGGTCTTGATTGCTAGTGGCAGTCCGCCGCATTTCTTCAAGAGTTCCTTTCCAAGATTTTCAAACTGGTCATCCGGGCATATTCCCCTGCTTGAAGAAAATGCAAACTTGGAGAACAAAGACCAGCTTTCATCATCGTTAAGAGTATTGGGACGGTGAATTCGCAAGCTCTCAACTCCCATACTAATTGCGACATCTTCATTTCTAGTTGTAATTATGATGCAGCTGTTTTGTTCTGGTAAAACAGAACACAGGTTAGTCCACCAGTCCACCTCTGTGTGACTCCACACATCATCCATAACAATGAGGCATCTCTTCCCTTTAAGTCCTCCCTGAATTTTCCTCAAAATCTGAGTAAGACCAAAACCAGAGACATTTTCTTCTAACCTTTCCAGGATGCTCCTCATGATCCGCTCGGCGCTGAAAGACTGCGAAACACACACCCAGATCATCTTGTCAAAGTGGGCTAATACTTTCACATCATGAAAGATTTTCTGGGAAATGGTAGTTTTGCCTAAGCCCCCCATTCCCACAATGCCTATGCGGTGAAGCGGTTTGGTGGTGTCAAACATCCAACCCTTTATCTTTTCGACATCTTCATCCAATCCAATGGTGTCAGTTGGGTTCCAGTCCTGTGACATAATTCCCCTAACTTGGTATGAATCATCTGCATGGATGCTATCTGGAGCCTTCAAAAACCTGCCCAATGTCTTCTCTATCTCCTTCATATGCCGATTAATGTCTCTCAGCTTCTTGCCCGTACGATGATAGAAGAATGGATCGTGAAGCAAGTTAACGGCCCAGGATGCATCTTTCCTATATTCATCTCTGACCAAGCAATCTGTGAGTACATCATCAGCTTTATAAATCACTTCCTTCAAATTTGACAAGCCTGCCCTGACAGTTTCGTTCTTGTGATTGAGATTCTCTGTGTCTGCAAGTAAAGCCCTGGCAAGATCAAGCCCTGTCTTCATCTGCTTAAACTGGCCGCTAAACTCAAGCGAAAATTGAGCTTGGTTCACAAGAGCTTTGAACACTTGTTCCGTCAGCGTTTGGATCATAGAATCCACTATTAGCATCTCTTCTACTCTTGTCTCTGAAACTGCATGCATATAGTATTTTTGGTCGAGAAAGTTTTGTAAATTATCTAGTCAATGGTAACCTTAATGATATTAACACCATGATCATGAACAATCAAATAGCCACAAACAAGTTATTGGTTTTTTCGTGCATATATTGTAGGAATCAGTCAATCGATGAATTGGGCAGAAACAGGGGAACGTACGACTGGTTTTACCGAGTAAAAAAAATAATTCATAAATCATTTAGCTTTACCTGAAAAGAGTAAAGGCCCAGCGCGGTTGATTCTTGCAGGATGAAGGACTTGAATGAGAGTTGGAACTTGAAATATCCAGCTGAAAAATACTTAAATTTTGATTATGAACAAGATGAGACTTCTTCCCTGCAATATAAATATCAATTTCATCTTCCTTAATTCATATTTCATAGTAGAGAGAATAAATTCCCGTAAGAAACCCTAGAAACACCAATAGAGAATAAATTCCCCTATCTATCAGCACAATTAAAGTCGCCGCTGCTTTTCGGCCAGGTGTAAGTGCTTGAAGCCGAGTTGTCTTATTCAGAGTAAGGTTTTGAATGCTTGTCATCCTAATGCTGGGCTGGTCAGTAGCTGTAAAAGGCTTATGAATTTAAGCTTCAACATATTTCTAGTAGCTGTAAAAGGCTTATGAATTTAAGCTTCAACATATTTCTAGAAGAAAGGAATGATGTAGCTGATGGGTTGGCTACTTGCGGTCACAATTTGGCTATTTTGAGGAGACTCCTGCCTGGTTTGGATATTTGTTGCTTTAATGATTCCTTGGGGGACAATGCTTAGCTCCTGATGTATCAGGAGCCACTCCTCCTCAACAATGATGTGGTCTTTTTAAAAAATAACACGTGTTTTTTTTTTTTTTTTTAAAAAAAAAAAAAATTTGTTTCCCTCTCTCTTCTCACCCACTCTCCTCTCCTCCCCCAACTCTCTCTTCTCTCATCCCCCGTCTCTCTCTCTTTCTCTGCAACTCTTTAGAAGAAATTTTCAGCCCCTTTGTCTTTCCATCGATGTTCCTCCATTATCATCACCTAAACACTATGTATTGATTTCTCTCATTTTTAATTTTTAATTTTATTGATGAGTTTTGGAAATTTTGGGAATGGTGAAAGAAAGAGATGGAGAGATGGAGAGATGAGAGAAGAGAGAGCTGGGGGAGGAGAGGAGAGAAGAGAGAGAGATGCGAAGATGAAAGAAGAGAGAGTTGGGGGAGGAGAGGAGAGTGGGTGAGAAGAGAGAGAGGAAGAGTCAGTGAAACAAATAAAATAAAAGGGGTTGAAAATTTCTTTTACAGAGTTGCAGAGGAAGAGAGAGAGACGGGGAGATGAGAGAAGAGAGAGGGAAACAAATTAAAAAAAGAAAAAAAAGAAACACGTGTCATTTTTTTAAAAGACTACATCATTTTTCAGGAGGAGTGGCTCCTGATACATTGGACCCAAGCATTGTCCTTCATTGGGAGCTGGCCCGTCTGATTAATACTAAATAGTTGTTGTGTTGGTGGTGTCCGGGGGTTTTCACCTTTTTTTATCATTTTTGCCTTAAAAAAACAACAAAAGTCGATGCTGCTTTTCAACTTTTTCTTCGGGGTGCGGTCCCATAATCCACTTTCTTTACATTTCATTTTACATGTAGGGACGGACGGGACAACATGTCCAGAGCATCAACGTCATCTTCGGATTTAAACAAACAAAGCCGAAGACGAAGAAGAAGACATTTCTCTACTCAGTTAGTACAGTACCCCCTACCCTAGCATGAACGGATTCGCAGATGAATTAATTATTAATTAGCATGACATTGACTTGCGTACATAACTATGGTTGCTAGGAAGAAAACTTGCATAACCGAGCTCGCACTGTTTTATACTCTTTTTTTATTTCTTCCTATAATGACGTCTCTCATCTCATCATATACTGACGTCCATTCCATGCATGTTTTTTTATTAATTAATTCTTCTGTTTGTTTTTTAATTCCAAGTATTATTATTGGCGGTGTCCATGCACAAAGGGAGAAGAGAACCAACCAAGAAGAAGTTGGTGTTTGAGTCAAGCGTGGTCTGCCAAATACATATGACAAGAGCAATTAAAAAATATCAAAGAGGAAAACTAATTAAACTCTCAAATAACAGTAACAATTAAAGGAACGAAACGACTTCAAACAAGTAAAAAATTTCACTATTTACAATTCATATAAAGAAGAAACTGTCCATCATCAGCCTTCCCTAAATAAACAAGAAACTGAATTACTCCCCGTCGTAACTCAATACATCCAATTTCCACAAATTTTGGACCTCAAATTTCTGACTTCATCTCCAAATTATGCCATAAATTTCTGTAACCTTCCATTTACATTTTTGTCCACGTCCAACTTAAGCACCAACCCACCAATATATATAACGGAAGGAACCAACGTAACTTGTCCATCCCTCGACTGAGACTCAACTCAAACCAAGAAAAAAGAGAAAAAGAAAGCGCGCGGACTGAAGATGCGTTCTCACTGGCTCCTCCTAGCACTGATTGGCCTCCTCCTTCCTCTGATGCTGGTGGCTGCTACTCCTCCGTGGCCTATGCCCGGCGGTTTTAAGCCCATACCCAAAGAGAACATCGGCGACCCTCGTCTGAAGTTGATGGCAGAGTTCGCGGTGTCCATGTACAATATTCTGCGAACCCACAAGAAGTTGGTGGTTGAGAGGGTCATCCGTGGAGACACCCAGATAGTCGCGGGCCAGAACTATCAGCTTGTCGTTTTGGCCAAGGATGGATTGTTGCCTAACACCACCGCAGGTTTCAATCATGCCCATTATGAGCTTAGTGTGTGTGAGCAGTCTTGGAAGGATCTTTGGAAATTGAACTCTTTTCGTCAACTTTACAATTAACCAATTAATAATGTATTTAGTGTCTTTAAACTCCTTAGTTATAACTAGCCTCACGCGCTTCCGAGCTTGCGAGAGGCATTTTTTTAAAATTTTAAAATTTATTTTAGAATTAAAAAAGATAATGGGTAGTTGTGTTCCATAAAAATAGGATCCATTATTTGATTTTTCTTTTAATTTTAATTTTATTTAAATATGAAAAAGTGTGAATTTACCATATTATCCTCATTTAATTAATAAATTGAATTCTTAATATTTGCATTAACTAAGGGCATATTTGGGGTTTTTGAATGTTTCACCATTCTCTGCCTTTTGCTTTATATACATAGATAAAAGACCCCACTGTATTGACATTGAGGGATATCATATATATGTGGTGATACGTATGCGTATCAAATAATGGTACTTCTGAATTTTCTTGAATTTTAATTTTTGTTTCTTGTTTCAATATTTTAAGGTTATTTTAATTTTTGAATTTTTTAAGGTTATTTTGTTCGTGATTTGAAAATTAATAATGTATGTGAATCTCCATTATAAAGGTAATTACCTAAACCCTAGAATTCTAAAAACTATTTCATGTGTGAGAATTGGATAATAATTGAATTCAAGGAAGGAAATCGTTTCCTCCTCCTCTTAAATGGAAAAAGAAAAGGAAAAAAATATTTACAGATTTTGTAGAATCACGGGCTCCATTCAAAGGTAATTGCGAATAAACGTGATGGGGTGATATCAAATATATATGGGATGATTTCCTAAAAATTATGAAAAAGATTGTAAGAAAGTCACAGAAAAGTCTTTACCTTCCGGTCCAAGTTCCACTCACCGCCTCTCTATGTATATATATCCAGTCCAGCCCTCGAATGCATGCAGGTCACTTCACTTGTGGATCCGAAGAAGCCAGTCGAGAAAACCCTTCAAAATAATCAAAGAAATGAATCAAACGGTCACAATGCGTTCAAACTGCCTCCTTGCACTCGTGGCCCTGGTTCTTGCTCTGGTGGCCTGTGCCGCAGACGGACGGGACGTGAAGGTAGACGGTTGGCAGCCCGTAGGGGACCTGAGCGACCCCCACTTGGTAGAGATAGCAAAGTTTGCGCTGTCGGAGTTCAGCAAGCAATCGGAGCCGGTCCAGAACAAGTTGGTGTATTATAACATGGCCAAGGGCGAGACGATGGTCGTATCGGGCGTCAGATATCGGCTCGTCATTGGGGCCACCAACGAGACGATTCCTGACCCCCTCTTCTCCCTAAATTATTATGAGGGTGTTGTCTTGGAGAAGGCTTGGAAGCATTTTAGGCAATTGCTCTCCTTTGCAGCAATTCCTAAAGAAGGCAATTAATTTTAGGGATTCTTAAAATTTGCACGCATATATTCATGCCTACTACTTACTCTTGTCTTGTCTTCACTCTGTCTGTCTGTTAGGATGTTTTATTAATCAGTACAATTGTTGAATGGTTTAGTACGACGTTTTTCTTGTGTTTTATATTTTTTGTCTATTTTTTCGTGATTTGAAAGTCACATTCGCGTGCATGTCATCACTGACCTGATCTGATGGTTTTTTATGAAGACCTAATCTGATGGTTGCGTTGCTATTTCGATGGGAAAAGTCCTGTAAATTTTATGGATCAGCTATCTATCATCACCCTCCACCACCCCAAAACATCTGTTTCCCATTGTGAATGATATAATTGCGGTTTTTCGAAACCTAGCTTGACTGTTCAAAGTTGTATGAGAATATCACAAGCCCTTTAGCATGCAATTCCCTCCGCATGTTTACTTCATATATATATATATAGGAATGATGAAAATGTAAGTCACCCACACAAAATTAGGAATTCAACTTAAGATTTTGAAGGAATTAGACTCTTTGGTGGGAGGTGGTGTTCTAATTCCTGCATAACTAATTCATCAAGAATCTATATTTTTTACCCATTATATCATCACACAATTTTTAAAGTTTCAAATTTACCCTCCCCTTTAACCCAACAAATAATGGCATTTTAGCATTCAAAACTGGATTCAATTCCAATTCATATGAATTTAGTAAACAACTTATAAGGAATCAATACCATTCCTACCCCAATTCCAGATAGTTTAGTAAACAACTTCAATGAGAATTCAGATTCAAACTCCTCCTCAATTCAACTCTTCCTAAATACAATTATCCTCACCCGATTACGGATTAGTAAACATGACCTAAATGTCGCAAATAGATAACTTTAGCAATTAATACTTTAATAACAAACAATTTCTAAACTATTATCATCACCGCCATCCGAAAGGAATTTTATTGCATTGTAATTTTATAATATAATACATAATTATATTACGTTACTGATACTCGAGTATCATACAAAAATTTATCTCCTCATTAACTCTTTTCCCTCCCTTATCTCCTTAATTCGGCAAATTCTCCTTTTTGGTAAAGTTAATTAGTAAGGGTGATTTCATAATATGTCCTAGGGTACGTGATCCTCTTCCTTAGTAGTGAAATTTAGAAATACTTTGGCAAGGCCGAAAGTAACCTCCAAATGACCAGATTTGGACAATAATATTCAGGTTGAGAGAAATCATTTACCTTTGCTGCCACTCTCCATTATCCAACTAAGAACTATCGATTAAGGCTGGGCATGGTACGGTACGTTATTAAGCTCGTACCGCTATCGATACCGGAAATTGGAACTGGTATGATACAGTATGGGATTATCGTTTACCAAAGTTGGTACTATACCATACCATGCCAAATCGGTATCAGTGTGAAACAGTACCATTTCGGTACCAAAATGACACAACTCAAAAATCAACCAATTCAATATTCAACAGATTCATTCACCAAATAAGTGATGCCTTATAATAGATTCAACATATTTAATATCCATCAACAGATTCAATATCCAAATCAATATCCATCCAACCCTTCATATTTCAAGCAAGTCACTTCAAGTGTGAATAGTAAAAAAAAACTTAATTAAATTTAGTAAACAAATCACCGGTCACGATGCGCCCTTACTGCCTCCTCGTACTCCTTGCCCTCGTCCTTCCTTTGGCTGTCGCCGCCGCCACAGGCCCACAGGGCACTCCGATCGACGATTGGCAGCCCATAAAGAACATCAGCGACCCCAAGGTGAAAGAGGCGGCGGAGTTCGCGATGTCCGAGTACGACAGGCAAGCCCAAGGCAATAGCAGGGACCCCAAGTTGGTGTTTGATAGTGTGGTCTGTGGCGAGCTCCAGGTCATACATGGCCTCTCAAATATAGGCTTGTCCTTTCGGGCAAGAATGAATCGTCAATGTCTAACCCCACCGCCACGGCCACCTCCGCTAAGTATGAGGCAGTTGTCTGGGACATGTTTTGGCAGCATCTTAAGAAGTTGATCTCCTTTCAACCATTGTCAGAAGTTAACTAATTTTTTTGGGGTCGTAGAAGATTATCACATTTCATTATAATAAACAAATACATATGGTGCTAATTAATACAAGTTCAATGCTTCATGTTCCTAATGGAAAACTCACCACAGGTAGAGAGGGCACTCCGATCGGCAGAGGCAGCGACAACGACATTTATGTTATTTTATGTTTTTGTTTGGGTTGGCTTTCTTTCAAACCTTAGTTGTGGGCTTGGGTTGGCTTTGTTTGGGTATATTATTTATTTGGCGTTGTAATAAGAGCATCAACTCTTTCAAGTGTGATGCATGTTTACGATTTCTCTACGGGAGACTTTGGGTTTATAGTTTACGTTATAGGTGTTGTACTTGACTTTTCTGACATGTGCTGGGCTGTTTTAAGTCATGTGCGGGTTTGAGTGGAGGTATACCATATGATGTGCGGGTTTGAGTGGAGGTATACCATATGAGTTTGATGTTGTTACTGGATCCTTTCGTTTTGGTTGTAACCCATTTGTGGGTAGTGGTTGTAACTGCTTTTGTGGGTTATTGTATTGGCCTTTATGGTTATTGTATTTGTATTACCCTTAGCGTAAATTAGGAATACAATCTTTATCTGGTTTGACCAAAAAAAACTACCAATTATGAGGCAATTATTGGCCTTCCATTATGTTGGGTGATTTCATTCCATATTAATTATAATTTTAGTTTCCTGCAATAGAAAATCATTTTATCCTCTTCCATAAATAGAGAAATTAAGAATCCCCATATACTATCAAAATTATCTCAGCTGTTTTAATTCAAATGTTCTTGACAATACTGAGGGGGTGGGTGGTGTTATTTTGTTATTGTTTCTTTTTATTTTTTTTAGTTAATTCTAATTTTTATTTTATTTTTTTGGGTATAATTTCTAATTTCCGTTTTGTGTCTTAAAAAGAAAAAATATAAATCTTCAAAGGCCAAGTGTTATGGTTTTATTCAGTTGCGGTTCTAGGATTCGAAAGCCGACCATGCAAAACTTATATACTAAACTCGACAGTATGAGTGAATTTCACTAATAAACATAAAAAGATACACATAGTGAGGGGGGCGTAATGAGCATTACCCTCAAATGCATATATATCTACAAATACAAAAACAAATTTCTGAAATTTCTGAAACAATTGTCTTTGTGCAAGACAAAAAAAAATTATAGGTAGGCTTGGGGTTTGTGTGAGACAACAAAAAATTAATAACCATGAGTAGTGTAGGTAATATTTTTTTAACAAAAAGAGAGAAGGAAAAGGAAGAAAAAAGAAAGAGAGAGAGGAGGGAAGATAGAAGGAAAAGAAAGAAAAAAAAAAAGGGAGAGAAGAGAGAAAGAAAAGAACGGAAAAGAAAGAGAGAGAGAGAGAGAGAGAGAGACAGAGGAGAGAAGAGGGAAGGAAAAGAAAGAAAAAAAGTTTGTATATGCTTAATTTAAGTGAGGGACATATGTAGTGTAGGTAAGAATTTTT